GGATATAAACTATGATGTTCAATAACTTTGGACAGTTTACAAGATGTTCTTACTTACGCATTAGTTTCCTACCAGCACAAAGAATCCTCTCTATTCTTACATGATTTGCACTGTTTGATGGCCCTGTCATAATGCGTTGCTTTTTGCTTGCCACTGTGTCACTCTCTTGCTGCTGTCTCACTTTATTTCCCTGCCCGCTGTTCATTACAATGATGTTGGTTGTTTAACCCATAATACTGAGCAATTGCTTGGTCATGCTTGTAAGTAAGGATTTATTTTTTTCAAGTGACTTGCCTGATAGAATAATGTTTAAAAAATGCACACACAAATTGGAAATATCAGTAGAATGATGTCCAGGATTACTACAGATGACTGGATAGCCCCAAGTTACATCAGTCCTATGCAAATGGATTCAAGAAAGATTTTGCTGATTCAGTATGACAATAGTTACAAAGGAAAAGGCTATTAAACTTTTTAAATAAGTCAAATATTTTTCTTTTAGAGTCAGAGAAATATACTCCTGCCATCTGTACTTTAGGAGTGGAACATCATTAATGACAGCCATGCAGTTTATATGGGCTACAGACATGATTTAACACTGTGGATATCAGCATGAAAGCACAGACTGTTCCACTTCACTGGGATTGATGTTAGACGGCGTGTCTACAGAGTATATTTTCTCCAACTTGATCAAATGGTGGAATGTTTTAATATTTAAAAAAAAGAAAAAAAAATTCCATCAATGCAGCACCGTTATAATTTTAATGGGGTGATATTTGGTTTGAGCTCAAAGTTTGAAAGTGTATATTATTCTGCAATACCTCTCCATAGACTATGGTAAAAGATAAAAGGAAAGGTTTACTGATTAAAAGAAAAACTTAACAAAAGAAGAGCATTTCCAACTGTGACTACAAATCAAACAATGGTGTGAACTAACTATAACCACAGTTACTACAGCGTAGAAAGAAAGACTGCTCACTGACAGACATATTCAGGTACATGTGCACGCTCATTCTTACTTTTCCAAATGCACAAACACCTCTTGACGAGCAAACAGACTTGGCAAAAATCAAAGTCAGACCTTCAAATCATCACAACACTGGGCTGGGCTTGCCCATCGGCTAAACTTCTATGTCTGTGTTTCATAAAAATCAAATTGGATTGGGGGTGGAAAGCCTGCCATTATATTGGGATTCTTGTCATGTGCAGTGACCCTGCTGCTTGGTACCACTCGTCTGAGCCCTGCGAGTTTGCCACTTTTTTCATCCACCGCAAATTTACTTTGTCTGATCATTTGTTTTCCAATTACTTCCCTGTCCCTGCTAGCAGAAAATTGTCAGCTTTGGTTATGTGAACCCGCTCTTGGGTCTGTAACCAGGGGCAATGTTTGATGCTTGGAACATTTTCATACCCATTAAAAGATGAAGGCAGGGTGAATTATTATCCTGCAGAGTTGATTGGGTTTTGCAGGGTGGGTTTAGGTTGCTGCGTGAGATGGTATAGTAGAGCCACACACAAAGACAAATTCTTATCATCCCTTAGTGAAAGACTTAAACCCACATAAAGGGTAGAATCCTTATTGGATAAAACCAGACCAAAGCAGAAGATAAATAAGTGGTGGATAGTTAATGAAGCAGGGTTTTACTTCCTACTTGTTATTTAATCAGTATTCCGCATTCAGTAGTTTCCTCACATCGATGTTCAATGTTTGACCACCGTTTAAAAGTAAATAAAAACTTCACAGTACTTGCGCACAGTAACACATTCGCAGTAATTGCCAGAAACCTACGCCTTCAGCACTGCACCGCAATTTAGATGAAAGATGCTGAACTGAACCTCAAGGAGAAGATTACACCCACGCAGCGGGGAAATACAACAGATGAGCATAACAATGGCAGCAAAAATTGAATGGGACTTTGAGAAGCAGAGCAGAGGACAAAGTAGCAGGGACAGAAAGAAACAGAATCAATGTTTGGCTATAGCTGTCGCATTAGCTGTGATAAACGAGGCCGTCGACAGAAACTCTGAAAGTCGACGCAGGACATTCCAATGATCAAGCGCTGAATAATCGGACACAATGGATTCTGGGAAGGAGAGGCAATTTGCTGCCATGGATCCAAGAAGAGGAGCATCAATTCACATATTGACCTTTAAAAATGCTATTAATGGATGATATCTTCAATTCATAGCTGGATGGGAAGTTCTCCAGTAGGCTATTGTGTGTGGCGAAATTACACTGTGGTGCATTTCCTCCACTGACAGCCTGTAGTATTTATCTGGGGTCAGGTTTCACATCAGTCAGTCAGAATGTTCAAAATGGAAGGGGCAGTTAAAACAAAACAAACTGTGATTGATCAAACAGTGAACAACGCTGAAATGTATTGAGCTGCAACAACAGTTTTGTCACTGTACATACACAGCGCTCCATGTCTTGCTTGAGTGTGTCTTCTCAGGATAATGGACAGGTGACAGTTGAAGCATTCATCGCTGACAGCAAAGCATATAAAGACATACACTCCTACACACATGCAAACAAACAAACTATAGCCCATTTTTGAGCACTCAGGTATTGCATTCGTGTGTGTCAGGCAGCCTGCGTCTGACAGGTTAAGAGCAATTTCTGTCAACTAACTGTGGCTTTGGAAAACGAGACTACGGAGGCTTGGCGATGGCATTTTGATGGATAATGAACTCTTTCTTTTTTTGTTTTGGCCTTGATGCACAGCTCAATGTTTTTATTGCTCTTATTCTTTCATGGTCCCGAGAGCTTCCCAGCAATTCAGAAACATTTCAGAGGTTTAAAGAAGAACTAAAAGGGCCAAATGTACTGACAGTTTAAAAAGCAGAAGAAAAGAAAACTGTTGCCTGTAGTTTCTGCAACATGGAGACGTGAGATGATCTGAATATAGGTTTTAATGAGGTTGCTTTTGCCAAGATTATTTGTTGGCAATTATTCTCTTCGTTAGAGAGTGTTTAGACAGGATGGAGTAGGGATGGTGAAATGACATGTGACAGGTTAAAGGACATCGTGAGCCACAAAATTCCAGTTATAATACACATTGAGCATAGCTCAGGCAGGATGTGATGTCAAGCTGAGCTCACATCCCAGCTACATTAGCTGATCTCAAACAGCCCAACTGACTTATGGAGCAGCTGATAGATCACATGATTCCTTTCTATGCAACCAACTGGCGAATCTCATTCAGGGTTCCTTATTTAAACTGTTCTAGCCTGCCTCTGTTGCTGCTTGCTCTATAAGCTGCTTTGCAACCTGCCTCCACCCCATCTCCTCCTTTGCATGCTGTGTCTGACTTATCAGCGTCATTTCTGCTTGTCACTGATGCTGCTCTGTTCTGTTCCCGGGGGTCTTTGCTGCTGCTCTTCCATGTAGGCGCATGGAAGGGCAGGAAAGTTTGCTCTCTCTGCCTCAGACTTTTGGCATTTGCACGTTGAAGGGCAGAGAGGTGTGTTTTCTTTGACTATAGTGTTCCTGACTGAAATAAGGGCTATGGTTCACTATAGTTAACTTAGCTTAGCATAAAGACTTGAAGACTGGAAACAGGAGAACACAGCCTGATTTGTTTTGATGGTAACAAAATAAGCCTGCAGCAAATCTAAAGTTCACAAATTTACAGAATGAGAATTTACATCATGTTTGTTTAATCTGTAAAAAAACCAAAGTGTGAAAACTTCGAGTTGTGGCTGTGCTAAGCTAAGGTAAGAAGCTGCTGGCTCCTGGTACATATTTACCTTACAGAGCACTCAGGTAAGATAAGGTATATTTACACATATAGTCTAAAAAGTATTAAGTCTAAAAAGAATACAATAAGATAGAAGATAAAGACAATAAACATACTAGACAGAAGAAAAATAAAAAAGATACTCATTTATTTTCACAAAAAATAGCGGTAGAAAACGAATATTTAAAGCTTTCATTTGAAAGAATTCAGTGTGTTGATTTTGTTATCGCTTTCACGTGGATGTTAAATTTCGATTTGCACCCCTAAGCACTGAGTTTAAATCATTCTTCTTTGGCACCTAAAACAATTATTTCTGTTTTATCTTTGCTTTTATCTTTAGACCATAGAGAATTTTGCCACATCTAATCACTGATTTGTCCAGTGCTCCACAGCTGCTTGGTAATACTTTTATTTAAATGTGTATGCCATTCATGTAATTATGGTGAGATAGTTAGTGGAGAGATAAGGACTCATTTCTCAAAATGCTCCTTTAAAAAATAGTCATGGAGTTAGTTGTCTTGGATGACAGTCAGAAGATTTCATCTCAAAGGTGAAAAAGATGCAGAATAACCAAAAGAAAGCTGAAAACTGAACATGACTGTGCACCTTTTTGTCAGCCCTCTCAGGTGCATTTGATGATTTTATAGTATTGCTTTCTCCTGAACAGGAGCTACAACCTTACAACCCAAAGATAAGTTTTGTAAGGCATTTTGCCAAAAAAAGAGAAAAAGTTTTGAGAAAAAAAAAATCCACCCTCTAGGCCTTGAATCAAATCCTGCAGCTCCTTCTCTCTCGCTCTCAACTTTCCTGCTGTCTCCATTCAGGAGAAATAACTTCCCCATTCTTTGAAATGGAAAACTACTGCTGAAGGGTTTTCAAGTGCACTTAAGATTCATTTGAACTGGAACAAGAAATACAGTTGCTGTAGGCGGGCATTTGTGACATATAGCTTTTTTTTCTTTTCCCTTACAATACATATTCATATATTTTCCTTGCAGAAACCTTAGAGGGACACATTTCAACATTTAATAATAGAGTGGTGGTGACGCTGATGTATGCTGCTTGTGTGCTGTTGGACAATGATGCCTCAGACTCTGGAGACATTGGAAATGTAATTTATTATATGCTGTAGCTTCTGTTTAGCATATAATACACTTTATTGACCCAATATTTGAGTTTATATCTTTACAGCTGTTGTGAATTGGTGATGCAATACTTGTTTACTTTTGCTGTGGGTGTTTATGTATGGTTGCCACTTACCTTGTACAATGAGGTAGACCTGTGAGGTCTTGGGCTGCTGCTTAGTCTGTATGGAGCAGGTGTACGACCCCTCGTCATACACATCCACCTACACAATAAAACAGAATACTGTTATTTCATCAGTTTGAATATATCTCATTACAATAATACTGGCAGTGCATGTCTTCATTTATTTTACTTTGTTACCTTTTCAGAGATATCAGGCTCTATTTTAAACAATATATAGCATGTGGTCAAAAGTGCAAGTGCATTTCAGCTGCTTTGCTAGTTAAACTTAAGGTCTTTGCACACTGAGTCAGTTTTTTTCGTCCAAAATTGTCGCACATCTAAAAATAAATATGACCTCACGTTGTGTCAATCACGTTTGGCCTAAACCTTCATCCGTCATTAAAATTTTCAGAACAAGCTAGATGTCGTGCGATTTGGCATACGAGAGTTTCTTTGATCTACAATCAGTGAAGAAACATCCGCAACAAGACAGAGGAACGGGGCACACAGAATCATTTCATAACTCATAGATAGCTCACGTTCAGCAGGTTAGATAGTAATATTTGGGTGGATGATGATAAAGAGGAGGAGGATGTGGACCGCACACAGAATGTGCTCCTTTTGCAGCTGCAGTGCCAAATGAAAGGCAGGGAGGGAGTGGTAACAGCCAGATAGGTAATTCCAGAGGCAAAGGAGGAAATGTGTCATCATTTTGTCAAGTATAGCCAATTTTCACAATGAATAGAACAATGAAACACAATGGAATCAGTGTGCAAGATTTCTGTGCCTAACAATTTTTTTTTGGATGACGGAATAAGTCTTAAAAAAAAAAATGACTCAGTGTGCAAAGGTCTTTGATCTGGGCACAAAGTAAGGCACAAGGGGTTGTATTTACCCCCTTAATTAATCATAGGTGTGTTTTGGGCATAACATGTATTCAAGTATCAACTCTCTTTCCCTTTAAAAGCCAGAAGTCCTGCACCTGACCCGCTGCTATTTACATGGCAGATTCGGCAAATTGGAGAAGCAAGCAGTTTTCTGCAGAGACTAATATAGTAAGAGCAGTGATGTCACTGCAGCAAATATCGTGGACATTTACGCAGGAAAACTGTAAACTTGAAAAAGGAAACAGAACTTAAGGGTAAACTGCTCCTGGTCCATAAATGCGCACAGCTTCTGTCCCAAAGGTAAGTTGGACAGCAGCTCTGCTCTGCTCTCTGCTATGTTCATATTTCAGAGAATGTATTAACAGTTGCCCCATTGATTATGTATTATCACACACACCTGGAACGTATCCACATGTCCATCCACTGTGTGTGTAACAAGCACAGTGTACGTGTGTTATGAACCCACCTATGTAGCTGCATCTAATTATCTGAACATTGCATCCTTTAAATAGCAGGAAAATACTGCGCTTTTGACGTTAGACCAGGTTTTTGTTAGTCAAGGGCACAATGGCTTTCTGCTGCCTCAAAGTAGCAATATGCCAACAATGCTACTGACCGCACCTCATTTGAAGACCTTCACACACATGGGCATACAGATGGGCACAAGTGCATTTACTACCAACACAGCGTGGGTGCTGGCCGAGAAAATGACAACTGCATTGGTCTGAAACTAGCAATGAGAGTTGCACTCTATGCACAGCTTTGAGACAGGTGTAAGATATGATAATGATAATAACAATAATCATAATTTTTATTTCTATAGCGCTTTTCTAAACCAGAGTTACAAAGAGCTTCACAGTGCAATGTCATACAATAGCAGAATACAAAGAAGTAAAAGAACATTATATACAGAAAATGCAATGTAAGAATATACAGTACAGGCCAAAAGTTTGGACACACCTTCTCATTCAATGCATTTTCTTTATTTTCATGACTATTTACATTGTAGATTCTCACTGAAGGCATCAAAACTATGAATGAACACATGTGGAGTTATGTACTTAACAAAAAAAGGTGAAATAACTGAAAACATGTTTTATATTCTAGTTTCTTCAAAATAGCCACCCTTTGCTCTGATTACTGCTTTGCACACTCTTGGCATTCTCTCTATGAGCTTCAAGAGGTAGTCACCTGAAATGGTTTCCACTTCACAGGTGTGCCTTATCAGGGTTAATTAGTGGAATTTCTTGCTTTATCAATGGGGTTGGGACCATCAGTTGTGTTGTGCAGAAGTCAGGTTAATACACAGCCGACAGCCCTATTGGACAACTGTTAAAATTCATATTATGGAAAGAACCAATCAGCTAACTAAAGAAAAACGAGTGGCCATCATTACTTTAAGAAATGAAGGTCAGTCAGTCCGGAAAATTGCAAAAACTTTAAATGTGTCCCCAAGTGGAGTCGCAAAAACCATCAAGCGCTACAACGAAACTGGCACACATGAGGACCGACCCAGGAAAGGAAGACCAAGAGTCACCTCTGCTTCTGAGGATAAGTTCATCCTAGTCACCAGCCTCAGAAATCGCAAGTTAACAGCAGCTCAGATCAGAGACCAGATGAATGCCACACAGAGTTCTAGCAGCAGACCCATCTCCAGAACAACTGTTAAGAGGAGACTGCGCGAATCAGGCCTTCATGGTCAAATAGCTGCTAGGAAACCACTGCTAAGGAGAGGCAACAAGCAGAAGAGTTTTGTTTGGGCCAAGAAACACAAGGAATGGACATTAGACCAGTGGAAATCTGTGCTTTGGTCTGATGAGTTCAAATTTGAGATCTTTGGTTCCAACCGCCGTGTCTTTGTGAGACGCAGAAAAGGTGAACGGATGGATTCCACATGCCTGGTTCCCACTGTGAAGCATGGAGGAGGAGGTGTGATGGTGTGGGGGTGTTTTGCTGGTGACACTGTTGGGGATTTATTCAAAATTGAAGGCACACTGAACCAGCATGGCTACCACAGCATCCTGCAGCGACATGCCATCCCATCCGGTTTGCCTTTAGTTGGACGATCATTTATTTTTCGACAGGACAATGACCCCAAACACACCTCCAGGCTGTGTAAGGGCTATTTGACCAAGAAGGAGAGTGATGGAGTGCTGCGGCAGATGACCTGGCCTCCACAGTCACCGGACCTGAACCCAATTGAAATGGTTTGGGGTGAGCTGGACCGCAGAGTGAAGGCAAAGGGGCCAACAAGTGCTAAACACCTCTGGGAACTCCTTCAAGACTGTTGGAAAACCATTTCAGGTGACTACCTCTTGAAGCTCATGGAGAGAATGCCAAGAGTGTGCAAAGCAGTAATCAGAGCAAAGGGTGGCTATTTTGAAGAAACTAGAATATAAAACATGTTTTCAGTTATTTCACCTTTTTTTGTTAAGTACATAACTTCACATGTGTTCATTCATAGTTTTGATGCCTTCAGTGAGAATCTACAATGTAAATAGTCATGAAAATAAAGAAAACGCATTGAATGAGAAGGTGTGTCCAAACTTTTGGCCTGTACTGTACATATACGTGTAGCTAAAATACGTACATGCACACATATAAAACTATACAATGTTATACAGATCCGAGTATGTACAGGTGGGTTTTTACGGCCCATAGTGCTTTATCATTTTCATTTCAATTACACTATATTATACATACTTGTCTAAATTACCATATAAATAGTTATTATTACAGCTACTGTTTAGTGGAATGGGCTAATCTTTTTTAATTGATTTAAGATCAATACTTAGACTAAGTTTTACTACTTGTAAATTAATTTGACTTTAAGTTTCTTTTTATTTTTCGACAGTGTCCGAATTTATGAACACAAATTCTGATTTGAAGTTTTCTGAGTTTAAATTAAAAGCTGAATGAATGTTATGCTGAAAGGTCACTCATCACATTAAATTAAGTTTCTAAGGAAACATGATCAGCATATTAGCAGACCTCCCAGCATGCAATGTAGTATATATGATGAGAACATACTGTTTTGATAATAAATGATAATAATAATTTAATGAAATGATATAATCTACCTGTACTGAAGGAATAAGTTGACTAACTATGCACACATTTTTCCTTCAGTGGGTCATGCCACCACTTTTGCAAATTTAGTTTCGGATGCTTGATTTATTCTAGGCATGAATACAGGTTGTAAATAATAGCCTGAAATTTGGGTGCATACTCTCATTCCTTTCTTGCCATTAGTTATATGAGAAGATTGATATTGATAACATGATTAGATATATTTGTCCGTTTCATATGAATCCCTCTTTAGCTTTGGACAGAGCCAGGTTAGCTATTTCCCCTTGTTTCTAGTTTTTATGCTAAGATAATCTAGCAGCCCTCCCTCCGGCTTTACATGAGCACACAAGTGTACTTCCTAACATGTCAAATTATTCTTTTAATATTAGCTAGCAGAGAGTTGTTTTTATGTAAAAACGCCCCTGTCTTCTCATCCTGTCTTCTCATATGCTAATGGTCAGGCAGGTTCACATAAGTGGTAAACTAAAACTTAAGGACAGAGTGAACAAAGTCTGACTGAACCTGCTGCATAATAAAATGCATAAACGAATGAATAAATATTTAAACAACACAACTCTGGCTGTTCAAAAGTCAAAGTGTGCAGTTTATTAAGGTCATATTTCATGACTTGAATAGGATCCTTGAAAAAACAACAACTAAAAAATCTGTTTTTCTCTCATCTCGAGATGCAACTGTCAATCACACTGAGCTCATAATGAATGTAACAGTCCATTCCAGTTTCTAGGTCAGTTTTACCTTTTGTATGCGCAGGCTGTACTCCAGCTGTCCTTTAGTGACCAGATCTACTCTAGGGTCCAGGGACCACTTGTCCTGGCCAGCAAAGATGATGTTGGATCGATTGAGCCAAGCCACCTTGGACACTTTGTCATCCACATAACACCTGCGGGCACAACAAGAACGAGCGAGGTGAGGAGAAGGAAACAGAAATGGAAGGCTGCGTTTCTCATAAGGGGATGTGGTGCGAGAGGGTGTGAAAAGAAAAGGGCAGGTAATATCTTTCATTTCATAAGCTGTAATCTTATTAGGAGAAAGGATATGTGGAGCTTTGCAGATAGGAAAGAAACAAATAACAGCAATTATCGGATCCCACGGAGTAGGTGGGCTGTAACTCAGAGGCGTTTTAAGTAGGGGTTTAAAGGCATAATAATTTCTTGAAACAAGTGGCCAAGCTGGGGATACTGCAACACAGTTCAGCTGTGTTGTGTTTGATGCTGCTGACCAGCAAGGGACAACTCAGCACTCCACTTATCCTGAGGTCTTGAATGAAAAGCTTAAGTTGTGGAGCATTTCTTTCTCTTTCCTATCCTCAATTCATCCCCCACACACTCTCTTCCTCCCACTCACTGTCTCTTTTTACCCCTGTCTCTCCACCTTCTTTGAATCTACCTCCCTTCCTCTCTCTGATAAATACATCTCCTTTAACAGTGAGCCTATTCCTGTGGATGAGAAAGGACACCGGTATCCTCTTGTTTACTGCTTGTTGCACGCTGTCAGAACATTACGCCAAGTAAGCTCGAGCTAAAGCTTGAGCTAAGACATCTCGCACGGGAGGGATGGGAGCCGACCGTCTGCCTAATGAATAAATGTAAATGTGAGAGGACGTCGGAATCAATGAGAATGGATATCAGCCGTAATGCAAGCCGACAGCGGATGCGCCTCACATGCAAATTCCGGCGATTCCCCGAGCCTTGGCTGTGCAAACGGCTTTGGAGTGTGTTGGGCTACAAGAGAGTAGATTAGCGAGGCAGTGGAGTGAGGCTGTCTTTGGCAGGTGACCCCGGGTGATGCACAAAAGTGGTGGTGCAGTCACCCCCAGCCTGTTACCCAGTGGGAGCTGGATGTCAGATTTGTTGAAGGCTTGTACTCGCAGCTTGAATCCTTGTTGATGTTCCTTCCCTTTGTGTGGAACCAAGATAACTCACTGTATTTACTGACTCACTCTGACATCTACCCTTTACTTTCTTAACTCTGAAGAGAACAGGTTTATCACATTTTGTTTCGACTATATTTGGGGCTCTAATTAATCGACTTTGTAGTCGAATGCAACTAATTAAGACACATTTGTTATCACGGAGAGCTACATGAACGACTGAAAACTAAAAGCATGGATTTTTCCTATTTAGAGGAGACATTTGGAAAATGAAGCCTAACTCACATAATTCAAATTCATAAAATGTAGATTGTTTTTATGAGTTTTGAGCTTTAACCTCTGCAAATCATCCATAAACGATAGGCCGCTGCTGTGCCCGATCCGTGCAAGTTGTGTGGTCAAACCTGCAGAACTTTATATTCTAGTCAAAACCTTCGAGCTTTTCGAAAATACAAACCTAATTTTGAATTTTACTTCAGAATGCATATAAATATGCACAAAACATTTAAATAATTCACTGTACAGAACTGCGATATACTCTACTGTAGCTTCAGTGTAGTGTTGCATCAGCCAGATGCACATCACCTTATGTACAATACAGTATTTGACACTGTCGTACTGAAAGGGGTCAACAGTACATCAGCTACTGAGATGTGAAGTGCCTGCCTTTGTTCAGCACCTGTCCATTTACCACGCAATTACATAAAATCTACTGTGCAGAAGTGCATATATGCTTGGTACAGTTTATTGAAAGAGCAATCTAATACACAAAATGTAATAACACAGTCTTTATGATTATAAATGTATGATTGGATTGTTTTGTTGTTTTGATGTAAACAGTTTGAGTGTAGAGGTTTTAATGCTGTGATTGACCATTTAAGAGCTATTCTCTGTTTTCTACGCGACAGTGTTCTAAATTAGTACAACACATAGATACACAGTGACAAGTTGAAGAGATTTTACGTGTTTGCAGTGAAGCAATAAACTGCCCTGGCTGACTGAATGGCTGCATCTTGTTTGTTTTCACTGAGCCTTGCTTCCTCTCTTCCCTTATTACCACTTGTCTCCTACCGTGAAGTAAACGGGAGGAGGTGAAAAAAACAAAAGCAGGAAAGTGAAAGACAGAACGAGGAGACGTGAACAGAATCGTGACACCAGTTTCCTTCGGTTGACTCTTTCAAAAAAAACAACCTTAGATTACACCAAACAGCAGGCTGTTACAAAAGCTGAATCGTGATCTTGTAAAGGACTGTGCAAGACAACTGTCTACAGCACAGACATTTCATAGAGCTTAGGATTAAACTACAGACTTGCAACGAGCATGTTTGACAAATGATACGTCTCAGTGATGTAATAATTTGACGGATCAAAGAGTAAAGCTTAAAATCTACATTCATTCATTTTCCATAACTGTGGAGGAGCTGGAGGCTATCCTAGCGGACAGTGGGCGAGAGGCGGAGTACACCCTGGACAGGTCACCAGACTATCACAGGGCTGACACATAGAGACAGACAATCATTCACACTCACATTCACACCTACGGACAATTTAGAGTCACCGATTAACCTGCATGTCTTTGGACTGTGGGAGGAAGCCGGACTACTGGGAGAGAACCCACTGACACAAGAGAACATGCAAACTCCACACAAAAGGGCTCTCCCAACCTGGAGTTCGAACTAGGAAGCCTCTTCCTGTGAGGCAACGATGCTAACCACTGCACCACCATGCCGCTTAAAATCTACAGATTTGTTAAAATAAGATTGTGATTCTAGTAACCATGTCTGTTATTGTCACTGATCTCAGAGATCTGATGTAGAAGACTGCTTCTTGGAGTTTTTATTAAAAGAAAATACTCTACCACAAAATGAAAAAAGGAGGAAGAAAACATCCTTGCGTTTCAGTTAACCATACAAAAATCCGTGGGTTGAAAATTGCAACCACACACTCACTGACACTTTTATTACTATTTACTATTTACAGAGTGAACTGAGACTTCTGTTCAATGAAAGACTGATGTAGCAAGCTGTTGCTTTCTGCTTTGTGGAGGGCAAAATGCAGCTTGACTGATGCTTTGTGATCATTAGAAAGAGGGTTCAGAGACTGCTGAATTGTTACTCAGTGAATTGTAATGAGATTTATCATGCAATTAATATGTAAATGTTACAGACTTTAAACTCAAGTGGATTTAGAGATAAGATGAAAATTGTGTGGAAAAGTAGGTAATAGAAAGCAGCAGTCATTGTTGTAAAAATTCAGAAAAGGAAAAATAGAAAATAAATCAAACTTTCCAAAAGAAATATATGACTATAAAGTCAATAAAAACAGCTGCGAAGAGCCTATAAACACATGAAAATGAAAATTTCCACAGCTTGTCATTGTGTACTTTGACAGCTGGTCATTGTGCACACAGATTGTGTACTTTGATTTAAAGTGCCGTCTCTCCTGTGTAAATATTCAATGGTACAATAATCGTTACCATAATATTAAGTGTAACTGTGCACACAAAGGCGATATCATATGGCATTTTACATACGTACAGTATCATTATGAAGTATTAGCAGGGAAATGTGCCTTTTATGTTTTCGTCAGAACTCCTGCCTTCTGGTGCATCTTCCAAACATTTGTCTTGGACAACAGAAGTCTGCATTCATAGGGGTGTCACTGAGGTGAGATAATTATTATTCATGCAGCGTCTGTGTCAACATCACAGACACTGTAGGGATGTCGCTCACACTGTCTTGTTATTGCCAACTTGTCTTTTTTTTGTCTGACTGTCCTCTAAACAAGACCTACACCCATGCTATCAGAGCTGGGAGGTTGCACTTAGGCACAGCAGTGCTTTGTCTTAAATGCTAACAGTGCACAGTTGCCCTCGTACAGTTTAACATGGTGCGTGTTTGGGATACAGGTCATAGGAAATTGCAGATTAAAGAGAGTTTTTGTGAATTTGATAGTACGATTGCTTTACAGTAGTACCATTACCAATAGTGGGATAGTTAGTGGGCTAAAACTGTACATTAGTAGTTGAGGTAGCACGTTGAAAGGCAGATAGTTAAAGTTAAAGTGTTTATATGTTGTATTGACTTAAAAGTGGGGCGCACTGATAGAATGACTGACTGACAGAGTGACACACTGACAGTTTCCTTGATTATGTACAGCATACCATACCATGACTTAGTCATACAAAAATTAGAAAAAACAACAACATTGGTCCACAGGTGGAGCCACAGCAATCGGTTGCATTTTAGCCATTTTTAAGCATGTTTCTGTTGTTATAGCGCCACCCAGTTGCCAATTAGAGTTAAATTTCTCCAGTCACCTTGAGGCGTCCTGTTCTACATATCTACCAAGTTTAGTAAAAATCCATATGGCGGTTAGGCCTAGATAAGAAATGAGCTCTCTAGCGCCCCCATTTTGTTTGATGGGGTCAATAATGGAGGGGTCCCCTCAGATTATGTGTGGTCATATGCCTACAAAGTTGCGTGGTGATGGGTGAAACCCTTGAGATGTTATACACCTTTATGTGATGAGCCACGCCCTCCGCAATATTCATTGCCTTATAGAAGCTCAGTTTTAGTAAGTTTTCCAACTTTTGCCAAGAGGGAACTTCAGATATTGGTCCCTAGATTATGTTCACCCAGTTTCATGCAGATCAGTCAAACTTCCTAGGAAGACATCGATTGTAAGTTTTTTTCCAAAAAATTCAAAATGGCGGAAAAACTATAAAACCGGAAGTTAGGGGTTCTTGAGGCAAATTTGTTCCTCATGAGGAGAGGCATCTCTGTGCAAAGTTTCATGTCTCTACGACATACGGGGCATGAGATATGCCCATTCAAAGTTTTCGTCATTATATAGTAAGATGTCAGCATGCTAACATCCTCTCAATGACAATGCCAGCATGCTGAGATTTAATAGCTGTGTGGTGTGTCAAAATTGTGGTTACTGTACTTAATGTTACTGTAATTTGAAGCATTCTCTGTCACAAGAATTTCCTTCGGGATAAATAAAAG